CATCCTTGAGGTCAAGGATGTTTCCAAGAGGAAGGCATTGTTACGAAGAATTTTTTAGAATAATAAATTTGGACTTGTATCCTTGCTGAGTCAGCAAGTTAGTTAGTTGTTAGAATTGTTGGAGTTTAAATAGCTGTCAGGACAGAGGGATTAGGCATGTATTCTTGTAATCCTTCTATATCAAATTCATTCAATAACAGTACACTCTTCGGATTCCTTTCTCATATAGGTATCCCTATTCACTCTTGTTCTTCGAATTGTTACAATTCCTAGTTCTAAGAATTTTTCTAACAAGCATCTATACAGGTATTTCCACAATAAATAAATATATAAATGTGTTGCTGTAGGAAGGCCAATGTATTGGTCGACGCTTTGAGTAGGAAGTCCATTCACATGTCTAGTTTGATGGTGAAAGAGTTGGAGCTGGTTGAGAAATTCAGATATTTGAATCTGTTTGTGGAGTTGGCTCAAGACCACATTAGCTGTGGCATGATTACCATTGCTAGTGAGTTCTTGTAGCAAGTTGGTATGAAGTAGTTGTAAGTTTCGGAAGTTGTGAAGGTTCTTAATTTGTTAGATACAGAGAAAGCAATTAGCTTTGAGATGGCTGAAGATGGGATTTGAGGTTTAAGGGCAGAATTTGCCTACCTTAAGATTCTAAGTATAAAGAGACATTGTTGAATATATGGTTGCCTGTCTGACCTGTCAGAAGGCTAAGGTTGGGCACCAGAATTCTGGTGGTTTAATTGTAGATGATGGAGATCTTGTAGTGGAAGTTGGATAGTATCACTATGGATTTTATTGATGGATTTCCTAAGTCGACTAGGAATAGTGATGCTATTTGAGTTGTGGTTGACAGATTGACCAAGTGTGCACATTTCTTGCGTGTCAATATCAAGTGATCCTTGGAAAAGTTGACACAATTGTATGTGAAGGAAATAGTACGGTTGCACGGGGTGCCTTTCAGTATTATTTCAGATGGAGATCTGAGGTTCACTTCTAGATTTTTGGCGGTTCACTTCTAGATTTTTGGCAGAGTCTACACCAAGCCTTAGGCACGAGGTTGAGGTTGAGTTCTGCTTATCATCCACAAACGGATGGTCAGTTAGAGAGGACAATTCAATCCTTGGAGGTTTTGCTGAGAGCTTGTGGGCTAGACCACTTGGAGAGTTAGGAGAAAGTCTTATTACTAGTAGAGTTCATGTATAGCAATAGCTTTCATGCTAGTATCGAGATGGCACCGTTTGAAGCCCTGTATGGTAAGAGGTGTAGGACTCCTTTGTGTTGGTACCAAGATAGTGAATCAGTGGTTGTAGGGCCGGAGTTAGTCCTACAGACTACTGAGAAAGTAAAGTTGATTCAAGAAAGTTTGAAGACTGCCCAGAGTAGAAAAAAGTCATATGTTGATAAAAGGTGAAAGCCTTTGAAGTTTGTTGAGGGGGAACATGTGTTTCACGTTTCACAGTTGAGGAAGTATGTCCATGACCTGAGTCATGTAGTTGAGATGGGTGAGATTCAGGTCAAGGAGAACCTGACTTATGAGAAGAGACCGGTAGCTGTGATTGATTACAAGTTGAAGAAGTGGAGTGGCAAGTCCATTGGATTGGTGAAGATTCTTTGGGATATAGTTACTGGTGAGGCTACCTGGGAGGTGGAGAGTCAGTTCAAGGAACTGTATCCATTCCTCTTTTCAGGTAAGCCTATTTTCGGAGACGAAAATTCCTATTTTTTGGGGGGTATTGTAATGTAGCAAGTTGTTTTAGAAGGCCCAAAAACCCAGTATGGGTGATTCAGTAGCCCAGAACGGGTCGTTCCAAACTATTGAATTGACCTATAAATCATAGTTGAGAACGGGCCGTTCTGGAGGGAGAACAGGTCGTTCCAAACCCCAAAATGGGCCGTTCTAGAGGGAGTACGGGTCATTCTGGATAGAGAACGGGCCGTTCTGAATGAGTCCCAAAACGGGCCGTTCTAATTTCAAAACGAGCCGTTCTGCATGTAATTTTTATACATGATGAAGTGGTGCAGAACGGGTTGTTCTAGATTCGAAACAGGCCATTCTGGCCACTCCTGAATGTCTATAAATAGAGTTGGGTGGTTGAGGAGAAGAAGAGGTTTTTAGAAAGAAGTTTTAGAGAGAAAGACTTTGGACTAGGAAGCTTGCTTTGGGTGGATTGAAGTGTTGGGTTGAGCTTCGGAAAGGGAATTCTGCTTCTTGGCTATTCTGAGCCAATCTTCAGGTAAGGGAAGTTAGATTGTAAAGTTGCTGGTTGTATGTGAGTTGGGAACTCATTTGGGTACTTAGGTTGATTAGTATGAGTTGTATTATATATTGAAAATATTGTGTGTTGCTAATATATGATTAAATATTTATGGAAAGACCCTTTACATTTCTAAGGCACTTTCATGATTTTTTTTTTTTGATAAAACAAATTGCCATGAAATGATTTTCATTTAAATGTTTATTTTGGTCAATTTAGAGACAATTGATTGTTATATGAATCATTTTTTTTTAAATATCTCCATCACTGCAATGATACTGATATTCTTCTATTTGGATTTTCTGCACAAGGAACTCTTTGGAACTTGAAAGTATAAAAGCATTCAAATGCCTCCACCTTGCAACTTAGCTTTTAGGAGATGGTCCTTGAAATCTCTAATAAAATTTCAAAAATCATTTACCCAAAAATTGTATCCTAATCCAAATTTCTGGTGCAGGGATCATTCATACGGGTTCCATAAGAATTGGCACTCCACATTTGTAGTTACAGGATTATTCTTGCTATAGCTTTTGTTTCAATATATCTTTAAAAAAATTATGGCATCATTTGATATATGTACCCAACCCCTGCTAGTGGAAAAAGACTTAATCGTCTTTCATATATCTTACGGATGAAATAGTATGTCAATAAAATCATTCTTCGATAAAAAAAATAGTATTATTTGGCACATTGGTGTAGAGTAGAGTATAAAATAAATGGCATTAACATGTGATAAAAATAATTAAAAGAAAAACAATATAAAGTAAATAATATGTTGACATAAGAACAAACCAAATATCCATTTATTCTAACAAACTCTGATACATATGTATTGAGAGAATTCAGCAAATGGAAAATAACACATTCAGACAGAATGAAAAGGAAAAGTGGGAAAATAGATACAGACCGGATGTCCTGTCTGTGTCTCATCTGAATGCCTAAAAAAGTCTGCTTTGGGATTCAATGGCCAGCTTAGATCGTGAAAACATTTGTTAGACCTGAAAAGGCACAGATTTGAGTTTCTTGTTATCCAAATGCAAAAAAAAAAAAAAAAAAAAAGTTTCAAGAGTTTTCATTATTTGATAACTAAAAGTTTAATAAAACACTTACCAAAAGTATTCATTAAGATCATCATAATTTCTCCAATTAGAATGACTTGCCTTGCCTTTGTTGTTTCTCTTTGCTTCCTTTTTCACCAAATACAGAAACAGGTGTCAAGGAAAACATTAGAAAACATGCAGCAAAACTAATCTGATTATAGTTGCATTATACTGACCTTCATTAAAACTTGATATATTGGACTTATAACTTCCCTCAGAAAATATTCATCATCACGTCCTTCGACTTGCTGTGTGCTCCCAGTCACATGAATGGTATTCTTATCTAAAATCTCATAGACTTTATCACACATCTTTGGGAGAAAAAAAGAGGAGAGAGAGAGTTATTAACATGGTATCTAACTATCTAGACCATGCTTGCTATGTCACTGCTAAAACATGAACTTAAAATTGAAAATGTGTGTAACAGTCACAACCAATGCTACTAGAATTAGAAAGAATGATGCCAAAACTAGGTTTGCCATTGGGTGGAAACATGAAACATGTTCAGAATAGGTCTTATATTGATTTGACTTTTTCTTTGTAAGTCGTTTGAATGTTGAATCTTATTTATAGATATGCTATTAATTATTTGTGTTTGAGCACTAGGATATGCCTTAATCAAATTATGTTGAAGGTAAACATTCTTACAAATTTATGACTTGTTTTCACTTCCCATCCACAGGTCTACTTAAACCCTAATGCTTGAAAATATTTTACAGTTAATTCTCACGTTATATGTAGTGCTCTTAAAATTAACTGGAAAAATGTCTCCTTCCCACAAACTTTTATTTGTGATAAACATGCAACTTGTGACATTTCATTTGTGATTTTCACATCAGGTATTTTTAGGTTTAGGTATTTCATGAGAGGGAAGTGATTCCCTGCGCAAATCATTTTCCTTTCAAAAAACATATTCAGCTAAAATGTTAATATAATACTTTAGAAATGCTGTAAATGATTGATACAGACTGTGGTGCAAACCTAGTTAGGATCACTTTCTGTATATTGATGCAATAGCATTTCTATCTTTTATAAAAATAAAAAAATTAAAAAAAAGAGGAAAAGTAAATCTTGTGGGGTGTATAGGTTATGCGTTTCGCTTATGAGATGGATACCTCGTTATGGAATAAGGAAATATGGGACTAGAAACATTAGGGATACAGGCAAAAAGTGTTAGGTTATGTGGTGAATCAATGAAGTAAAATATTACTGCTATGATTCCTTTGCTTTTCAATTAATTTGTTCCAAGAGGCTATTTGGAAATTCTATGTCTTTAGCTTTTCTGTGTCCTCTTGTTTTGTTTAAGTTGCACACTTGTTTGCCTAAATTGTAAAAATAAGCTTCGTTCAACATTTGTAAAAATAAGCTGCATATTTGTTTGCCTCCCATTGTATTTTTTTTAAAAAACTTTTTTCTGACATTAATATTGTAAATTCTTTAATATTGTGTTCAATTTTTATATAGATAAAAAAAATATAAAAACACTTATTTTAGCTGAACACCACCAACATATCCACGCATTTTTCAATGATTGTTTGCAGCTGATAGGATTATATAGCAGGGTATAATGATTTAGTAGTGTGTAGTGCTATTTCCTAGTGTGACGGCCACGGCGAGTCATTACAATTTTCTTTTCTTTTTTTTTGGCACTTTTTGGTTGGGTAGAACTCAAACGCTATGTTACCCATAAAATCAAGCTATATTTTCATCCGCAGTGGCATGCCAATAATTTTTATAAAAATAAAGCATTCTTTTACGAAGAACATTGCGGCGAGATGACATGGGAGAAAAAATCGTATCATAATCGATTACATTTTTAAAAAATCAAAATTAAAATTAAAATTAATGATGTGGTAATCTAAATGACATTTTGTGATTGGAGGGACAGGGTTTGGGAACAAGGGTTGGAGACAAAGAATTTTGATCCCTTATAAACACCTTGCATAATATAAAAAATATATATTATTAACATAGCGATAATTTGGTCAAAACAAAATTAAAAATATAAATATTTTTAAATAGCGTCAGCCAATCTGATATAAAATTATATAAGATAAATTATTAGAATACAACTTAAGTGTCGGAAAAACCGACACAAATGCAAATAGACTTTAAACATTCTTCATAATGTTAAAAAAAAGTTTTTCTTCAACATATTATAATCTATTACGCCAACACTTATACTATTTTTTTTTTAATAATTATGGCTTAAAAATGCTTTTAATACTTATTTTAAATAAAAAATAATTTAGTTCGAGTACTGAATTTACAATCAAGTATAATGTTCAAAGGGCTAATTTTGTTATTTTAATGATTCTACCAAGTTTGAAAAAAAATCTTTAATTGCCGACTGTGCAAGATTTTTTTTTTCTCTTTTTCTGAGAACGGGACAAGATACTTGTGGTTTAGTAATATTTGATTTTGGTAAAGAGGTTGAATGTTAAGATTATTGTTGTAAATGTTATTTCAAAGTTATGACAAATAAATTTCCTATAATAAGCCTACATTTTAACTTTCGAAGAAAATACATATAAAGTTAGCACATCAATGGATAAAACAATATATTTCGACATACTTTTCAAACATCATCAAAAAAAATTTATGAAAAACACCATCAATTTAAATGATACATTTATTTACCCGCACATTGACATAGACGTACTTTAATTCACCCCTCAGTCACTCTACAATATTCAGAGTTTTGAAAATTTGGAACACCTTTTATTTCTATGTAGATCAAAGAAGCTAACAAATCCTGCAAATTTTTTGGCTCTAGATTCAAATGTTTTAAGTACTTGAGACGTACGATATCCAAACTGCATGGAGTAATGTGAACATATTCTCCAAGATTCAAGCTTTTGAGTTTTCCTCCTGTTATAGATAACTCCTTCAGTACTTTAGGTAGTTCACTAGGCTTCAACCATTCTGGAATATTCTCTTCAGGAAAGCCTTCAAGGTGCAATGTTTTCAAATTCGAAGGCAAACTCATTTGAATATCACTGTACCTTATGTTGTCAGACGCACCCCATGATATCTTGAGATGCTCAAGTGCCTCCAATTTTTTAAAGCTTTCATACTCCCCATCTTTGATCAGAGCCCCACTTGCTATGTGTATGCTGAGTTGCTCTAGATTTTTCAACTTTGCAAGATCTGATATTCTATAGGGAGTCTTGGTAGAACTATCTATTACAAAGCCCTTGAGAACTTCAAGATTAGTGAGTTTCTCAATCCCCTTTGGCATTCTCCCCAACAAGTAGCATTGAGACAAATTCAAATGTCTGAGTTTTTTCAATGATGAAATATCATAAGGTAGTGTTTCTAGATTGTGACAAGCCTTGAGATCTAGAATTGCTAGGCTCTCAAGTTGAAAAATGGAGGGTGGCAACTCAAATATTCTTGATATCCCACGAAGGCTTAGATACTTCAAACGCCTTTGATGCCTCAACTCCTTGAAAAACTCTTCACTCATCACTTCTATATGATGTTTGGGTGAATCATGCAGCCAACGACCAAGTTGAAGCACCTCCAAATGCTTCATTTTTGCTATCCATTCGGGTTCAATATTAAGATAACTAGCACCCACATTGAAAATAGCTCTCCAATGGTCAAACTCAGATCTCAACCCAAACTTATCACTTAGATTAACTTTTTTTTGATCAAGCATTAAACTTCGATGTGAAGTATTGGGGCGACGCAATTTTACTAGTTTTGAATAAACTCCACAAAGTTCTTCCTCATCATTTTGTAACACTTGCCTCATCAACGCATGACGCACACAGGGATTTATTTTAAACTTTTTCACGTTTGGACGCTTGTCATTACCATATGGTACAATCATTTTACCATTGAAAAGATAATCAAACACATACTCAAATTGCCCTATCATGAAGTAACCCACCACAGATGCCCACCAGAAATGAATAGTGCTTTTCTTTATAACAGCGTTTTTAGGGAAAAGCAAGAGAGACAAGAAGAAACGTTTATGAAGACGATCAAGGTCATAATAGTGTACCTTAAACTCTTCTACTTGTCTCGCATCAAGCTTCTCATCCTGAAATGTTTCTTGTGATGTTTCAGTTTGAGCAGCTTCTGTGTTAGTGTTGCTACTACTTTGAGAATAAGCAGCACCTGGTAGCAACTTTTGAGTTATGCCCCTTAATCTGTTGCAAATTTCAATCTCCTCTTCCTTCAACTTACGTATGTTTGAGTTGCGAAGATAGCCATCCACGACTGTTAACATGTCAAGGAGTTCATCTTTGTTTTTCTTCACTATGGAAAAGAGGTCTCTTATCTGAAACAACTCAGACTTCAAATTCTTCAATTTTGCTGGTTGTTCAAGATCCATTAGGCGCTTCAACAACAAATTCACTGCTTTCATTGGATTTGTTCGAATGGACATTGTTTTTCTTGGATTGAGAGATTGAGGGATAGAGTTTGTGACTAATTGATGAAAGGAACAAAAGATTTTTGGGACAAAGTAGTGGGAGATATATTGTGAGATTTTATGGAAAAACTGATGAAAGAAATTATGAATATATAGCTTTGAGATAAACAGTGACAATAAATGAAATAATCATATTGCATGAAACATGATTATGGCAACAGCTTTACGTGATTCTTTTCTTAATTAACTTGAAATTTAATGTAACCCGTATTCACTCAATAAAGTTTAAAACTAAAGTTCTAATTATATTTGAAAAAAAAAATAATAATAGTTTGTTTTGAAACTTAAATTTATAAATTAAAATCAATCTGACTTTTGTCTTTGCCAGAAAAATATATAATTTATAAAATTCATACTATTAGCAAGACAATTCTGCGCCAGGGTATTTTTTTAGTCTAGGGCATATAAATTAGAAAAGGTTTATGATTAAAAGTATATACTATTTAAAACTAGAAATTCCTTTTTATCTTTAATTCAAAAAATGATTAAAGAGAGGTATGTTTTGTTTGGTTTAACTTTTTGGCAAGGAATTATTCCAAAACCCAATAACAAGTTTGATATACCATTCTTTTTTCTCATGAAAAAATTCCACATTAATTATTCTATCATTTCTTTTATAAGTGGAATTATTCCAGCGGATATATAATGTCAAGCAAAGAACCTTGTAACAAGTTTCGCATCATTTTTTTTCCACAGTACTGTATACTTTCTTTGGTAAATGGAATTATTCAGCAGACTGTAACAAGCAAAGAATCCAATTATAATAAGTTTGACATCTTTTCTTCTTCTTTTTTTCCCATGAGAAACTGCCACAATAGTCTTGTCTTAATTTCTTTCCCAAACGCAACCCATGTGTTGACGGTGAATTAGAAGCGTATCATTTTTTCAATTAGCTAATGTTATAATTTATATCAATTTTTTTAAGTGAATACTATTGCATCATTTTCTTTGCTTGGAGTAACTCCAGCAGTAATACTATATATAATTTCCTTTAGAATTCTATTTTTGGAAGTGGGATTCTTGGAAGAGATCTATTGCTCTTCTCTTGTTATTTCAAAATATATTATTAAAAGGTTTAAATATGATTTATAATCCTTTAAACTTAACGTAAATTTATTTTTAGTTTCTTAAATTTAAAATTGATCTTTTTAACTCGTGTAATTTCAAAAAAAAATATTTTAATTCTTATATTTAAATTTTGTTAGAGAATTTATCAAATATTATCACAAAAATTTATTTATTGTTATTCTTGTTAACAAAAATATTATATTAAACTCGATTGATAATGCATGATTGTTTCAGTCTCACATTTTTAAATATGTTGGTGATGTAAAAGATTGAAATAAGATTTTTAAAGAATTTAATAACTAAAAATAACAATTTTAAATTTGAGGAACCAAAAATAAATTTATTCTAAATTTAAGGAACTAAAAACATATATAAAACTTATTAAAATATATAATATTTTGTGCTTTTTGTATGTTTAATAAACATATATATCGTGAGATCCATTTAAGAAACTTTAGTGTGTTTCTTGGTTGCAGTAAAAAAAGTTAAGTAAATTGTTTAATATAAGTAATGTGATGTGACATCATGAAGAAGTGTGAAATATTATTAAAAAGTAAAAGAGAAACTTTAGTTGAGTTGATGGTTGGAGATATTTTTCGGCACCAGTTTTTTAGATTCAATCTTTACAAGTTTTGAGGGAATTTTTTTACGTAAATATTATTTTTTTAAAAAGAAAATACCCAAATAATTACTGTGCAAGTTTATTTACAGAGATAAAACCATTTACTGTTCAAGCTCAGAATTCGGTTTCCAGAGAACCGAATTCTGAGCATCAAAGTGTATTTTTTTTGTTTTTTCAACTCAGAATTCGGTTTCCCGGGAACCGAATTCTGAGTTGGTTTTATATTTTTTTTTTGTGTTTGCAGGAAAACGTGGGCAGATGTTGGAAGCGGAACAACCCGTTCCGAAAGCAGAACGGGTCGTTCTACTTAAAGGAACAGAGCGACATTTCTGAAAGTGAAACGGGTCAAGAACGGGTCGTTCCAGCGTTAAGAATTAACGTTGAAATAGATGTTAGAAGCGGCCCGTTTTAAACAAAATTTTTGGTATTTTTTTTAATGTGGAACGGGCCGTTCTTGTTTTAGAACGGCCCGTTCCAAAATAGAAATTTACACATTTTTTTACTCCTGTTTCACCAAATACAGAAACAGGTGTCAAGGAAAACATTAGAAAACATGCAGCAAAACTAATCTGATTATAGTTGCATTATACTGACCTTCATTAAAACTTGATATATTGGACTTATAACTTCCCTCAGAAAATATTCATCATCACGTCCTTCGACTTGCTGTGTGCTCCCAGTCACATGAATGGTATTCTTATCTAAAATCTCATAGACTTTATCACACATCTTTGGGAGAAAAAAAGAGGAGAGAGAGAGTTATTAACATGGTATCTAACTATCTAGACCATGCTTGCTATGTCACTGCTAAAACATGAACTTAAAATTGAAAATGTGTGTAACAGTCACAACCAATGCTACTAGAATTAGAAAGAATGATGCCAAAACTAGGTTTGCCATTGGGTGGAAACATGAAACATGTTCAGAATAGGTCTTATATTGATTTGACTTTTTCTTTGTAAGTCGTTTGAATGTTGAATCTTATTTATAGATATGCTATTAATTATTTGTGTTTGAGCACTAGGATATGCCTTAATCAAATTATGTTGAAGGTAAACATTCTTACAAATTTATGACTTGTTTTCACTTCCCATCCACAGGTCTACTTAAACCCTAATGCTTGAAAATATTTTACAGTTAATTCTCACGTTATATGTAGTGCTCTTAAAATTAACTGGAAAAATGTCTCCTTCCCACAAACTTTTATTTGTGATAAACATGCAACTTGTGACATTTCATTTGTGATTTTCACATCAGGTATTTTTAGGTTTAGGTATTTCATGAGAGGGAAGTGATTCCCTGCGCAAATCATTTTCCTTTCAAAAAACATATTCAGCTAAAATGTTAATATAATACTTTAGAAATGCTGTAAATGATTGATACAGACTGTGGTGCAAACCTAGTTAGGATCACTTTCTGTATATTGATGCAATAGCATTTCTATCTTTTATAAAAATAAAAAAATTAAAAAAAAGAGGAAAAGTAAATCTTGTGGGGTGTATAGAAGGTTTGCCTAATTAGAATGAGTTTGGTAAATAACTAGAACGATATTATTTGTTTAATCTGAAAATAGCATCTACTTTGCTCTATTCATGAAATATCTTCTGCATAATTTCAGTATTTCATTCTCCCAAAGAATGACACAAGAGATTAAAGATGTCGATGAGAAAATAGTTAAATATAGAAGCTATAACATATGTAATGTCGTTGATGGAGGTGCAAGTGATGATATAATATAATTTAAAAGAGGTATCACAAGAAACATTTTGTTTATCATAATGAAGCATAAGTTGGTTATAAGTAGTAGAGCACAAGATTGAGATGATTTACTCACAGCACAGGTAAAACAGAAAAATAATGCTATGTCATCAATAATGTTCAACAGACAGTAATAGAGAACTTACACGATGGAAAATGTAGCAAATACATTCAGGCATGAAGCGAATATTTGAAGCTTCTCCCCATATTAGAAGATAAAGTGCAATATAAATCAGCTCCATCTGTTGCATGTCATAATCATCTAGAAACCTATAAAGGGTTAAAAAAATTCATACACCAAAATGAACCAAATAGCTCTTGTTAGTATATAAACATTATATGAAGCACAATTTAGAGTATGCTTGGACACAATGGTTTGGAGAGAAAGGGAAGGGAGGGTTAATTTTATGGTTTTGAATTGAGTTATAAAACATTTATAAAGAAGAATAAGGGATGATGGAAAAGGTTACATGGAAATATTTCATTCTTTTTCCTTTCATTTAGAAAAATGTTCAAAAATAAAATGTTAATTCAAATTGAAAACTTAACCCTCCCTTCCCTTTCCAACTCCTCAATCCAAACATACTCTTAAGGTGAAAATCCTTGAGTTTTATTATCTCACAATAAAACATTTAATTACCTAAGATTGGAATCACAACGCACATAATGACACCATGACTCATAATTTTTGAAAATTGTAGCCTTCAACTTTAGTACAGTTTCTTCATGGAGCTGCCACAAGATTCTTGTTAGCTTTTAATATAAGTGGGAGTGTAATCACAGTGTTGAAATTTAGCATCACAATAAACATGAAAAAAAAATAACTAGAAAACAAAAGTTTTTTTTTGTAGTAAATAATAGTTCACCTGATAAGATGATACATCCCTGTTCCTTATATTCAAGTTGGCAAGCAATAATATAAGGTGCTCCCTTTGATTTGCTACATTTCCTTTCTTCATATCCCAAAACAGAAGGAAACAGTAAATCAGATTATTCCCCAGAAATGGCATGACAATTATACATAGTTGTATTCAACATTGGCTGCTCTGTATCTTTGGTACAAAAGAGATTCAAATTCACTCCTTTGAAACATTTAAGGAGATAAAAATAAATAAAACAAAATTCAATAAATTTCTCTATGTTCTCAACATAACTGTATGTATGCCATACTACTGCTATCAAGATGTCATTAATATTATGAGAAGTAGCAATTTAAGAATAATTTTCTTTATTTTCAGTATCCCATCTCATGTATTTTGACAGGTTTTACTATTTTAAAATAGGAATAAATAATAGAAACAAAATTATGAAAAAGAAGAGTAAGAAATTCTTGTAACAACCTCAATAAATGAAATTATGAAATGTAGAAGTATCAGCTAATAGAACTCTCCAATCCCTTTATAAATTTATTAATAAAAACCCATCAAAGAAGCCAAGCTTTGAAAAGAACAACTGCGAGGAAGCCCCAAAGAAAAAGAACTATATTAAATTGTTCATTTGTCATGTTTGTAGTGAAAAAAACTAATGCCATAAAAGGTTCAAGGAAGATATCTCCTCTGAAAAACACTAGTATTTTGCTTCAGCCACAGACAGACAAACCGACAAATGGTTATGCTTTAAGCATTGCTCCAATCCATTCTCATTATCAGATAACATGCAAAAATCTAGTCAAACATGTTTGCACTTGTTCAGCCTTGAAACAGCACCATTTATAGTCAATAATCATCATCCTGTTGATTCTGGATCAGCCTTATGTTCACACTTGTCCAATCGAGTGCATGTTTGGTAACATCTTTTTGGGAGAAATAGACATCATATTTCAAAAGCTCTCTCAAGAAATTGGTAAAAAACAATATTAGTATTTCTCTAAAATATGCTTAACCAAACATATTAAATAACCTTCAATCCACTTCTTCAGAAATTAACCCCAGGACATTAAAAATTTGATTCCTTTTATCAAAAACTAAATACTTGATTCCAATTTTACTCGGGGCCGGCCCAAGGGCAAGGCTAACAAAGCTCTCGCTTTAAGTCTCTTTCAAAAAAATATTTTAAATTAATATTTATATAATTTTTTTTAAGGTTCAATAACTTAAAAGTCACTTTTTGCATTCTTAAAAATTCACTTTAAAAAGCCTATCTCTAAAAGATATACAAATATAATTATTTTTTTCAAGACGCAACACTAAAATGTTTTTATTTTTATAATCAAAAGATATTATTAATTTTAAAAAGTCTTACTTTAAAATTTGCTTTAGACCTAACATCATGTTGGGCCAGCCCTTGTTCTACTATGAAGTCAACTATCAAAACCCAATCATGACTTCCACCACCATCTTAAAACCTAGAACCCAACTCCTATGGATTAGTAATAAGTGTGCCACCCAATTCTCTCTCACCTATATTTGTAACCAGGACAATTTCCAATCAAAGTGAAATTAGGAAATAGAAGGGGGGGAGGAGGAGAATATTGAATACCTGAAACCCAAAAACTGAGGCAATCCAATCAAGTATATCATTCACTTTTTTAAGCCTCTCCATAGGCATTATAGAATCATCATTAGAAACATCAGGTCTTGCATGAATTACTGGAATTGGAAGATTATCCACCCTACATAAAGCATTAATTGCTGCTTTGATCTATAATTTTCAAGAAAAAAAAAAACAAGCAGATTAAAAATTTGAAATATCAGGGTGATTATATCATTAGCAGATGCAAAACAAACAATGCATATATCCACAGACCTCGGGAAGTTCCATGATTGCTGGTTTAACACCAACAGCATATAGTGGAAGGATGTTATAGTGTTCATATTGCCCCCTCTTCCTATCAACATCCTCGGCATATCTTTTTGTCTGGCAATGAAACAACATCCTTAGTCCGTGTATGTTTAGAAGTATTTTACAAATTTTAGTCATGGTAGCCTAATCAAGCAAAACAAACTAATCTGATTATAGTTGCATTATACTGACCTTCATTAAAACTTGATATATTGGACTTATAACTTCCCTCAGAAAATATTCATCATCACGTCCTTCGACTTGCTGTGTGCTCCCAGTCACATGAATGGTATTCTTATCTAAAATCTCATAGACTTTATCACACATCTTTGGGAGAAAAAAAGAGGAGAGAGAGAGTTATTAACATGGTATCTAACTATCTAGACCATGCTTGCTATGTCACTGCTAAAACATGAACTTAAAATTGAAAATGTGTGTAACAGTCACAACCAATGCTACTAGAATTAGAAAGAATGATGCCAAAACTAGGTTTGCCATTGGGTGGAAACATGAAACATGTTCAGAATAGGTCTTATATTGATTTGACTTTTTCTTTGTAAGTCGTTTGAATGTTGAATCTTATTTATAGATATGCTATTAATTATTTGTGTTTGAGCACTAGGATATGCCTTAATCAAATTATGTTGAAGGTAAACATTCTTACAAATTTATGACTTGTTTTCACTTCCCATCCACAGGTCTACTTAAACCCTAATGCTTGAAAATATTTTACAGTTAATTCTCACGTTATATGTAGTGCTCTTAAAATTAACTGGAAAAATGTCTCCTTCCCACAAACTTTTATTTGTGATAAACATGCAACTTGTGACATTTCATTTGTGATTTTCACATCAGGTATTTTTAGGTTTAGGTATTTCATGAGAGGGAAGTGATTCCCTGCGCAAATCATTTTCCTTTCAAAAAACATATTCAGCTAAAATGTTAATATTGATTATAGTTGCATTATACTGACCTTCATTAAAACTTGATATATTGGACTTATAACTTCCCTCAGAAAATATTCATCATCACGTCCTTCGACTTGCTGTGTGCTCCCAGTCACATGAATGGTATTCTTATCTAAAATCTCATTGCTAATCTGAATTCGTGTGAAAAAAATGAAGGGGAGAGGGTCTATTTATAGAAAAATTCGCGTTTTTATTGTTTACCCAGAACGGGCCGTTCCAAAACCATAACGGCCCGTTTCAAATCACAAACCCTTTGTTAAAACAGCTCCTGGAACGGGCCGTTCCGAGGCCGTTCCAGGAGTAAAAAAATGTGTAAATTTCTGTTTTGGAACGGGCTGTTCTAAAACAAGAACGGCCCATTCCACATTAAAAAAAATGACCAAAAATTTTGTTTGAAACGGGCCGCTTCCAACATCTATTTCAACGTTAATTCTTAACGCTGGAACGGCCTGTTCTTGGCCCGTTTCACTTTCAGAAATGTCACTCTGTTCCTTTAAGTAGAACGGCCCGTTCTGCTTTCGGAACGGGCCGTTCCGCTTCCAACATCTGCCCACGTTCCCCTGGAAACACGAAAAAAAAAATATATATATATATATATATATATATATAAAACCAACTCAGAATTCGGTTCCCCGGGAACCGAATTCTAAGTTGGAAAAACAAAAAAAAATACACTTTGGTGCTCAGAATTCGGTTTCGTTCCCCTGGAAACACGAAAAAAAAAATATATATATATATATATATATATATATAAAACCAACTCAGAATTCGGTTCCCGGGGAACCGAATTCTGAGTTGAAAAAACAAAAAAAAAATACACTTTGATGCTCAGAATTCGGTTCCCCGGGAACCGAATTCTGAGCTTGAACAGTGAATGGTTCTATCTTTGTAAATAAACCTGCACAGTGGTTATTTGGGTATTTTTTTAATAAAAAAAAATATTTACGTAAAAAAATCGTTTTGAGGCCCCTAGACCAACATAATTAATGATCTTAAAGGGTTGGCCGAGCTTGGTTGGGCAAGATTCATCCTTTTTTTTATTTAACAACACCCACCTTTTTTCGTCATAAGTACAACTATTAAAGTGGGTAATAAGACTCAAATAATTGGTCTAGCATGGGTTTAGTAATAAGTGAGTTAACCTAATTCAGCTCACATTTTGATAAACTTAAAAAAAAATCAACCCAATTCAATTTGTGAGTTAAATGATTTGATTCACTTGAATTAAAAAAAGTAAAAAATAAAAATTATTGAACTTATAAAAAAATACATATTATAATTTTATATTTTAGAATTACAACTATGTTAACAATAGTATAAGAAAATGTTAAAAAAAAATAGACATTAATCACAACCAACTTAATTAACTTATAATATCAAATATTATTAAAATTGTTATAAAATATTGACAAATAATATCAAATTGACATTAATTATCATAATTAAGAACTAGAATGTACAAAGTTTAGTCAATGATATAAATGTATAATTACATAAATTAATATTTGAGAAGTTAATAAAAAAAATATAAAATATATTAAGTGAGTCAATATGTGAATCATCCTAATTTTTCACTAATTAACTCTTAGTGAGATATTTTCTTTATAATTGAAATGCACCAAACTTTTCTAATCCTACTCAACTCAAATGGTTGAGAGCCTTCAAATCACTTTGACAACTCTATCATAAGTATAATGACTAGAAGTTGCTGCTTAATTAGGAGGGGCCTTCTACGTTGTGGGAGAGCATAAGTAGTCAGCAAAGTTATTCTAAATTTGAGGAAAAAAACATATATAAACCTTATTAAAATATATGATATTTTGTGCTTTTTGTATGTTTAATAAACATATATATTGTGAGATCCATTTAAGAAACTTTAGTGTGTTTCTTGGTTGTAGTAAAAAAAAGTTAAGTAAGTTGTTTAATATAAGTAATGTCACTACAAGAAAAATGCTAATTTTCGACCGAAAAGGGTAAATTTCTAACGAATTTTCTTTTTTTTGATGGATTTAAATCTGTCAGAAAAAGTGGCATTGAAAAAAAATTCATCGAAAATAATTTAATCCATCGAAAATTTCTGACGAAAAATTCTATCATAAATTATAACTTATTTTTTAAATTTTAATAAATTTATTAATGTAACAGCCCTCATATTTAGCCTCTCAAGGATTCTATTTCAAGACATTTCACTTTTAAGCGTGTTTAATACTTACTTGCGCAATTTCTAGGAAACTTCCCAGAAGGTTACCCATCCCTATACTACTCCAGGTCAAGCACACTTAACTATAAAGTTTTGATGAGTAAGCTACCGAAATGTATATTTATGTTGTCAGTATAACTTGTACAAATTAATTCATTTAAGTCATTCTCAAATATACAATCTCATACTTGTACTATAATAATAATATCTAATAATTTTATATTACAAATAATAATAATAATAATATATTCAATTATTCTTTATTTATATGTACTTACTTTTATAATTAACATCTACTTATTTCTATTTAAAATTATAATTTAAATTATTTAATTTTATAATTTATAATGATAATATAATTTATAAAATTATAAATATTTATTTATTACATACTTATAAATTAAATTTTAATATTTTAAATAAATTATTAATTAATTTAATATATTTATTTACCTTAAATCAAACATATAAAATTCAAAAAATGTATTTATCCTTGTTTTATTTTTTAATTATCAACCATTAATAAAATACTAACTTAAAATCTTATCTAATTATATCATAATATTCTCATATCAAATTTAAAACCAGATATTAGTTATACAAAAATATTAAGATCATATAGTAAATTGTCAATAAGATTTTAGTTAAATAATTTAAAATAATTAATATTTCAATTATATTGTTAATTAGAAAATAATTTATTCCAAAGCTAATTAAATTTTTTTATATTAATTATTAATAAAATTTAATAACTTTTAATTTAACAATTAATTGGATCAATGAAATTCAACACACACCATGAGTTATTGAGCGGAATAACTTTACCAAGAGTTATTTTGTAAGTTATCTTAAATCAAACATATAAAATTCAAAAAAAAAATATTTATCCTTGTTTTATTTTCTAATTATCAACCATTAATAAAATACTAACTTAAAATCTTATCTAATTATATCATAATATTTTTATATCAAATTTAAAATCAGTTCTTACATTTTCGACAAATATAAATTTGTTGGAATAATAATCCATCAATAATATAGTTTTTCCTACAAAAAAAAATTTTCATCGAAAATATAAATTTTCCGATAGATTTAATTTTATTTTATAAGAAATCATCTTCGATTAATATAACATTTTGTATATATGATTTAAGAGTAAAGAACTTTCAATTTAACGGTTGGATTTACAAAATTCACATTTAATATAAAGTTATTGAGCGGTGTAATACTTAGTAAAATTTACACCGGTGTAATTATACCCCCTCTCCTTGGAGAACGGCCTGTACTCAAGGAAGAACGACCCGTTCTCCAATGAGAACGGGCCGTACTGAGAATTAAATTTTAAGCCTTTTGATTAGACTGGAACGGCCCGTTCCAGTTTTGAAACGGCCCGTTCCAGTTTAATTTTTTTCCCCGCCAGACTTTTAAAATCGGTTATTAAACAACCGATCTTAAAAGTTAACTTTTAAAATCGGTTGTTTAACTGATTTTAAAAGTCTAACTTTTAAAATCGGCTCTTTTAAAATCGGTTACAGAACCGATTTTAAAAGTAAAAAATGATTTTAAAAGTCTTTTTTTCACTAGTGAATTATGATAACAATAGTACAAGAAAATGTTAAAAAAAATAGACATTAATCACAATCAACTTAATTAACTTATAATATCAAATATTATTAAAATTGTTATAAAATATTAACAAATAATATCAAATTGACACTAATTATCATAATTAAGAACTAGAATGTGCAAAGTTTAGTCAATGATATAAATGTATAATTACATAAATTAATATTTGAGAAGTTAATAGAAAAATATAAAATATATTAAGTAAGTCAACACGTGAATCATCCTAATTTTTCGCTAATTAACTCTTAGTTAGATATTTTCTTTATAATTGAAATGCACCAAATTTTTCTAATCCTACTCAACTCAATTGATTGAGAGCTCAAAATCACTTTGACAGCTCTATCATAAGTATAATCACTAGAAGTTGCTGCTTAATTAGGAGGGGCCTTCTACGTTGTGGGAGAGCATAAGTAGTAAGCAAAATTATTTATTTAATTTTTAATTTTTAAAAAGAACTTAAAAGTTTAAAAATAGATAGTTACCTTTATACCTTATTTTTATATCACCTCTTGTTCACGGGGTATTCTCAAACCTCTTTCTCTATCTTTGAGTCTACTAGTTCATCCCCCCATCCCGTACGGCCCCTCATGCTGCATTCAACTTTATTAATATAACTCTAAATTATAACACCTCAAAATAGCCACTTGTATCAATTTTCTTAATCTCCACATAACAGCAACAACAACATTTGTTTGTTCCTTCGCGAGGGAGATAAGGATATGGTTTTTAGACACCAATTATTCTATGTTAAGATGGAGGGAGAGAAAAAAAAAATATATATATATATATATATAGAAAGACACTGTGAACAGGAATTTCAAATCACTGACATTGTAATAAGAGAAATCAATTAGTGTAAACATTTTTTTTTTATTAAAGGGTCTTTGACAAAAGAGAACGAAGTTTTCAACTTTGTTGGGCCTATTCAGTTTTCTTTGTTACACTATGGACTTCATGTCTAGGTGGGAGGATTAGTAGGGTTTTTGTGACCTGAATCCTGTTGGGCCTGATCTGATAAGATAAACTTATGGTGCAACCCATTTGTTGAAGGAATATTTTGAGGAAAGATATTAGTGGATCCGAGATTCTAGTATATTGTTATACTATATTTTTCTTCTTCTTTTATTACCTTTTACTTTGCATCACTCTTGTAACATAACACAATTATGATCATATTGAATTTCTCTTCTCTGACCTTGGTTTTTTGCCATGTTGTCTTCATTCGTCGTATTTTCGTTTCTGTTGTCATTTTTTTTTTAACGGTCTCTATACGTATAAAGTATAAAGTTTAGGTTTTAATCTCAATACGTACCAACAATTTTTTTGTGTGTTTTACTTCTTGTTATTAGCTTTTTATGGTATGAAACCGCCAGAAAATGAAGAAATAAAGAATGAAAGATAAAACAAATGTTCATATTTTCATTGCCTTATATCCCAAATACCATACTTAACTAGGGAATATGGAATAGACAATCGAAAGATAATATCTACATTATGTATATTTATGATCTCGATAAAGATTAATCAATATTCATTATTTTTAAGAGTAATATTTTGTATCAGTACTATAATTATAAAAAAATAAAATCAAGTATAGAATTAAAACAAAAAGGTTGACACAAGTTGAGGTGATGGGGAATCAAATAAATTCAAAAATAGTTTGAAATTCGATTCAATAATTAACTTGTTAAATTTATTTCATGATCTAAATGAGAACTTAAATTAAAGATTGAGCTCGATAAATAAATGAATTAAACTTGAATTTCGTATAATTTGACTCATTTAGTTTAGATATTAGCTCAAGATATAAATATATAATTTATATAATTAATTTTCTACTAAATTTTAGTTTATTAAAATTTGAAGGACTTTCAAAACTTCGTTATAAGTTAATAATAATAATAATAAAAGTGTTGCAATCTTGCAAATCTAATAAAAAAAAAAGTTATGTTTTGTCTTTTAAAAAAATCATTTTATTTGAAATCTTTTATTAAATTGAAATTTTGAAATGTATAAAATCCAAAAAAAAAATCAAAAAAATCGAGTTATAGTTCATGTGATTCAAGCTCTTAAGAAAGTGGGTTAAAAGTTTGATTCAACCTTACAAAAATTGATTTGTAAAATAAAAATTATTTTTCACTTTTATACATCATTATGACCTTATTTTTAAATAATGTAGGATTTCAAACACGAGCTAATAAGCTTAATCGAGTTATTAATGAACTTAAACCGAGTCTGAAAAAAAAAATATTAAACTTGAATCAATGAGTCAAATATTATCGAGATAAGTCTAGCTTAACCAATTTTTGTTCAACTCGAGTCATTTCCATACTAAACTTGACCAAATAATTAATTAAACATTTCCTTTTGTTTCCCTCCTACATCCTTAAGGTAAACCAATTATGAATATATTGGATATTTATAACTTCCTGGTCTCCATGAAATGATATTTTAAGTTCTTGAATTTGCATCAAAACCCGACAAAAACATACTAGTCACCAAATATGTAGCTTACCATCTTTGAATCGCTATGCCTCTTTATATATTATTTCATTCTTATCTCATACATGAAATTCAAATTCACCAGTACTCTATATGCTTTAAACACTTGTATCCTATGTAGAAGTCAGGGTCAATGATGGAGAGGTATTGATTCATCCTCCTCAACAAGTGTCACCCTTGAATACCTTCTCCTTTTCATCTGGACGACTTTCTTGACAACTGTTAGTCATCATTTCATTGCCCAAAGCCACTCCTTGATTTTGTATATAGACCCATTTTTCTTGAAAAAGGTAGAAAAACACAATCACAGATATCTGAAGAGTGAAAAGTATGTTCCAAATTTTTATGCTTTTTGATGTTTTTTGGTGGTAGGCCCCTAAACCAAGATATACATTCAGGACACCCAAGAATGAGACTACAGTTCCAAGTATCCAATGTGCAAAGAACCACACACTTCTTTTGGTTCCCCTGTTAAGAACAAGGAAATATCCTAATTAACATGTTCTATTAACAAAATATTAAAATGATCATTAAAAAGATGAACTCAAAAGAAGAAACCAAAAAGTGTTGAAATAAATGTACTTCCTACCATAATTGTAAGAACATGGAACATGAAAATTCCAATTATTTTTTTCTCCTTAATGAAACCCCATATAAGTTTAATGACAATAAAATGATTCAATGATCTAAGTTTGGAATTTCTGTTAAACATGGATACCAATGAAATCTTGTAGATACACATTTTCTCAATAAAAGGGAATTCAGTAGTTTTACCTTTGTGGTCGAAAAATGCCTAGTAGGACTTGCAGCCAGATAACACCATATAGTGCAACTCCTAATCTTTGATGACTATTGTTGAAGAGGTTGTTGAAATTTTTTATGGACATGATTGCTCCAGCTGTGGCAAGTAGAACAGCAATCATCTGTTGAACAGAAATTCAAAAGTATTCATCATGTTAAAATGGAAAAGTTCATAGCTCTTAAAAAATCAGGAAAAGGTTAACAATGAAAGAAATATTATAGAAATTAGTTATTTCTGTTAATAATGGGCTATATTAACTTCTGGACTTCATTATAGCTGTGACTTAGTACCACACATAACCAACAGCATAATTTTGTTGTCCTCTTCACAGGCTGTGTTTAAAAAATGAGATGGAAAAGCTTGAAATATCTAATAACAAAAGATTATTTAATAAAATGCCTTTCTTGTCCTCAAAGCATCCATTATAGTCCTTGTAAATAAATTAGGAGGCATATCTCATTAGCTACTAATAAGCTTTAGGCTAAATAAAATAACTAAAAATCTGAATCTTACTACTTTTAGCTTCATTTCATCATCAATAAAGTTAATAAGTGGAACAACTGACCCTATTAAACTAATTTAAAACCAGTGACAGATCCAAAGGGTGGCCAGGGCTTCCCTCTTCCAAAATTTTAACTAGTCTCTACATAAAGTTGTCTTAAAGGTTTTAAAATGACCAAATTATGTCCTAATCTAAAAACACTTTAACTTGTTTTATACTCACTCTGACTTTATTCTTAAAATTATATAGTAAATTTAATCATTCACTAACTGATAAAATGCTTTAACTTTAGACTTTAATTATATATAAATTTAGAGTTTAAAAAGTAGAAATATGTTCTGAATTCATTTTATCCCCTTCAAGTCATATAGACATATTTGAACTACATGTGTATTTAACAGATGCATTACTGACTTAATAATAATGTGTCTGACCTGTAATAAAACACAAATTCATTTAACTTCTCTATATTTTAAAACTTTTACATATAACTTCTGAACTGTAAATGAAATAATAAAAACTATTTAATGAAAAATAATTCTTGAAACTTTTGCCACAAGTTCTAGAATTAGGCATTAAATTGAGAAAGGTGAGTTAAAGATGACATAACTATTTCAAAAACACTATTTACATAGAACTTATTTTCTCCACTTTTGCTTAATACCACCATAAGTACTTGCTCTTTTCCTGAATAGATCACTGGTTGTCAAGTAAAAGTACAAGAACTAACAATATACACAATCAATTCTTACATCTGATTCAGAATTATGATGTAATACGGACTTAGATATACTTGCCTGCAAAATTGCATGAACATAGAACACAATTCTATGCCTTCTTGGATTATCCTCTCTGTTTGACAGTCTAATTGCAAGTATACCAACAGGCATCAAGAACCCCATTGAAGCCCACAGCAGAAAGCCATGTAATGTAATCTCAAATTGAAGCCTAGGAGTCATCTTCACATATAAACCAATCACAGAAAAAAGTTAGATTCACAGAAAAAACTCATTTATGAAATAAATGCTTAAACTTATAAGATTGAAAATAGGGCAAGGTGCGTATAATGAACAGATGATGCTGCCAAAAATAAAAATTCAGGAGAATATGCAACAGAAATGAGATACCTTAATGCGGTTGTTTTCTTTGGTTCTCGAATGGTGCTCTTGGGATGAACTAACAAGGGGAAACATGATGAAAACAAGACTTGCATTAAAGAGGAAAGAAATGAGCTTTTGTTGAACTCCCATTTTTCCCTTCTTTGGATGAGAATATGAAAAAATGATCAAACTCAATCTTCAATTCTAGGGAAGATTTAAGGCAGAAAAACTATGACATTCTGAAATCCGAATATACTTGACCCATGAACTGAAGGATCTTGTCCTTTTTTCTGTATGTTTTTGGCTGTGTGAGAGGATTCTGAATTCTGAGTAGGGAGCACTCTTATCTAGATAGTACAACCAAAAAGTTGTCACCAATGCAAGAAAAATATGAGATCAATGTGAGGTCAGAGAAAGCTCATCAAAAGGCCAAGGATAGAGAGAGTTTAACCTTCCTAAGTATACATTTCATTTCAGCTTAAATTGACATTTTCTGAAGGTTTGTTGCATGGAAATAAGTTGTTAATACTTGGTCCAGAAGATGTTATACTTACAAATAATAAATGGAAGTGGAGATATAGCATAAGATGAGATTTCAAACTTGTGGGGTTCACTTTGACAGGCTTTTTGAGTTTATGGAGGAGAGAATGTGGACTTGCAGAGGTAAAGTGTGTCAGATTTCAATGTGAGGGGTTAAAATTTATACATATATATACATACTGAAAGACAAAGTGGATCGTGCTAAGTTTACATGGTAAACATTATCTTCTGCTTCCCACTATTGAATACACATCATTATAACATGCTTGAATAGACTTCTCCACCAACCAAATACCGACCCAGTATACAGAATTTGATTATTGAAAGTGGGTCAATAAAATCAGATTCTGGAAAGGTTTTCAACTTCTGAACATAAGCATCTATGTTTTCATATACTCATGTAACATAACAGCTCATATCAAATCATGTTAAACTTTTGTATATGCTGTATAGTTAATGTTTTCTTTCACAGAATTTTTAACATCTCAGCAACTACCTCTTACCCATTTTTTGTTAGTATTACTTCTTATAACACTTTTATTAATAACAGAAAATTAAAGACTAACTATTCAAAATATTGGAATCTCTTAAAAGTAAGATTATGTGTCAATCATGTCGAGTTTGTTATTGATATTTTATAGGGTAAATAATCCTTAAATTTAAAAGATACTATCATATTAATCTTTGAAAACTAAGAAATTATCAAATAAGTCTTTAGAGTATTAAATAAGTCCTTAATTTAACTAATTATTGTCATTTTAGTCTCCAAATATATATCAATATTATCACTTTAATCACACATATTTTTTAGTTTGGACTAACATGATTGAAAATTTGTCCTTTCTTATACATATTTAACATTTTGTTGGTTTCAGAAACCAACATAATAGTGTTTTCTAAATTTAAGAACCAACTTAGGTGTTTAGTCAAATTTTATATTTATTAAAATTTTGATCCAGATCTTCTAAACGATTATGTGGGCTAATTTTATATTATCATATGTTGGTAACTTCTAAATAATGTTATATCATTCAAAGCTATAAATAGAGCATTATTAGTGTTATCTTTTCCTGTATTTTATTTTGTGGCACAGGCAGGTGACTTAAAAAGATGTCATAAGATATGGAAAATATGTAGCAAACACCTATAACTCTCATCCGTATGATTTTGAGTTCCAAGATGCATCCCCACTTGTAATAATAACAAAATATTTTAAAGCCACGCCAGACTGTGGTTCAATGGGCTTGTGTATGTTGTTCATTAATCATGTAGAGATTCAAGACTCTAAAAGACAAATCATTTGTATACCACGTGAGAGTATATTATTATAATATATAATATGTGTACTTATTGAAACCTGACTATTATACTTACAAATTACTTTCAGCATAAAATGGTTATTTTCTCTAATTTTAGCTGTAGAGTTATAAGAAACTCTGAAATTTTTCTTTGAAAAAAAAAAAAAGTATACCCATTCTCTTATATACGGGTGGTAAAAGGGGCTGTAATAATTGAAATTGTTATTTTTAGTAATGTAGCATGATCTCATGTCATTTAATGAATTTTATTTATGAGTTTGGAGTTTATAATAAATCTTAATTCATAATAAAAAGTGGGTTAAAAAGAATGCAATAAATAGTTCCTCCTCAATAGCACTTCTCATTTGACTATTTGTGCATGTATAGTATACAACATATTGGGGGTGATTTTTATGTGATTGGAATTCTTTCTTCTTCTTTTTTTCTTCTCTTTTTTGTGGCATTATTTTTTGTCCCCGTGAACTTTATGGGGAACTTTTTTATTTGAGAATTGTCACAATTCAGAACATGTGACACTGTTTTCTTCTACTTTTCTGTGTGCGCTGAGAATAGAATAAAGTAAAACGATGAGTATGGAGAATAACGATGACCACGATATATAGAATAACCAATGCATGAATTAATGCTATTATTTTCTTTACGAGTGAATCCAAGAGTGGCGTAGGGAAAGCAACGTGGTCCTCTTTTATGAAATATCATGCAAACCATATAGTATATGATAAATTGGAAGCTATATAACCCGAGTTTGTATTTCTCATAGTTTCTTTCTAGCCTGGATTCTAATTTTGTCTATGTGTCTCTTGTAATGGGTTGGAGTACCCCTTGTACTCCCTTTAATTTAAATTTCTTTTGTTTATCAAAATATATATATATATATATATATATACACGTGATGAGGATATTCATTTGCTAAATTGTAGTCTTAGAGTGATAGAGACGTCTATACAGCTATGTTTTGCACGTGATTCACCATTAATTGCTTATTATGATACTTCATTACAATTTTGAACGCAACCCCTCTTCTATTAATTATTGCTTATCCTAATATGTCAAATGTTTATTTTATTTGCCTTGCTAGTTAGGGTTAGGATGAGGGGCAAAGCTTGGTTACGACATAAGGGTCATGACCCCACAAATATTTTACAACAAATTTTTATATATAATAAAAAAATAATATCTTTAATTGATACTCATAATATTTTTAAAAATTTATATCTCAAATATTAATCCTTTAAACCCATTCAAATAGCATATGAAAATTAATTTGTAAATTTTAGTTATAGAAAGAGCCAAAAAAAAATTATATATATATAGTACTAGCAAATCACTTTTTAATACATATTTTTTACTCACACTTTATTATTATGATAAAATTTATTGAGAACTACAAAAGTAAGAAAGACTCACTCAATGAATGATACCTCCTTCTTAGAGATGACAAGTACATTTATACTTGTAGGTAATATACGAACTTATCTTGATTTTGATGAAGAATATTCAATTTGACCGGGTACATATAATATCCAATTTATTAATTGGGTACAAGGATAGGGATTTGGTATACACATACTCACTCTGTAATGATCGTACTTGTATCGGTACTTGTACTCACTTTAAATTTGTAGAAACTTAATTTTTTAAAAATAATTGTTTGACATTTATGTAATTTTTACTCTATTTTAAGTTTATGTCAAATAAAACTTAATTAATGTAATTTTGTAATTGTTGTTTTATGTTGAAAATCATATTTTTTAATATTTCTTGTTTAGAAAAATATTTAATTAAGTTTTTAATGATACAAGTATACACAATACCTAACAAGGACGGGAATAAGGGCATAAATCTCATATTCGTTACATATGAGGACGAGAACGAATATAGGATACATAAATGAAAATAGTGAAACTCTATCCATCTCACTCTATTGTCATCCATATATATTCCTTCTCAAAGTTTGTTACTTTCACCTCCTAGCTACCATTTTAGTTTTTAATGATAAAAAGAGTTTGTTATTATAAAAAATTTCAGTCAATAATAAAAAATGTGTTTCAAGAAATATATTAAAAATTGTGTTGTTAATATTTTTCGATAAAGTAAACTTTAGTCTTTTTTTATTACTACTTTTGTAGATAAGTTTTTGTTAATATTGCATTTTCATATTTTGTTTTTAAAAAATATTAGCCCATATTTTTCGGTAATTGTATTATTGATGTGAAATGTCTAATGATTTTGTTGATTTTTCATTAAAGAACCTAATTGGTCATTTATATATAGTAAGGTCTCCTCTTTCTTCCACTAAACTAAAAACCTAGATCTTACTTAAATAATCTAATCTCTAAAAACCTATATCTTACTTAAATAATCTAATTATCTTAGTTTGACTCCAACATAAGGCTTGTTAGTTAATATATATAGTAGCTATTATTAATTGACTTAATAATATTTTTTATACATTAGTTATTTTAATAATTAATTATCTTTTCATAATGTAAAACTTATTTTATTTTACATTTTAAATCTATTTTTCTATGATTTTTATCATCATTCTGTTATAAGAAAATGTGTTTAATATGACATCTACGTTTTTTTGGTATGTAGATTTTTCTTGTGAATTTTATATATAGAAAAATTATTTTCTAAGAAATTTTTCTGCAAATTTTGTTATAATTTGGGTAAAAATGTGATTATTTTCTTAAATATGTTGAAAACTTCAAAGAAAATGTATAGGATTTTTTTTCATATTTTTATACAAATTTTGGTTCTTGTAAAAATAAATTAATGTTTCTTGCAATTTTTCACATAAAAGTTATATATGAATTTTCTATTTTTCATATTCAATAACAAACGATACATAGAAGCCATAAAAAATCAGTTTTATTAATTAAATAGAAAGTATTTTAATATATCACAAGAGAAAATTAATTAGTGGAAATATTGAATATTTGAATAATATCATAAAAGAAAATTCACTAGTAGAAAATAAGTATATTACGTCACCCCTTTTACGTCGGAAATACGAAAATCCGACGTAAAAAAAATGCGGTGGCATTTTTGTAATTTTTGCGAACTTTTTTACGTCGCACCTGGTAAGGTCCGACGTAAAAAGTCCAATCTACGTCGCACCTTCCCAGGTGCGACGTAAAAAGTCCAATCTACGTCGCACCTTCCCAGGTGCGACGTAAAAAGTCCAATTTACGTCGCACCCTACCAGGTCCGACGTAAAAAAGACGCAAATTTGAATAAGAGAGCGCGAGGCACACCGCGCGCATTCACTTTTCATTTTTTTCTCTGTAAACCCTCTTCCTCTTCGTTGTGTAAATCCCTCCGCCTCCTACTCCTTCGGTCCTTCCTTCCTTATAATTTTTCTATCATTCAGTCTCCGTTCATACGACAAAAACAAGCAGTTTGCGTTCATACGACTAAATGTGTATTTTGAACTTATTATGTGTGTTTCTTTATATATTTTGAGTAGGAACAACCAGTGGCTGAAGCCAAGCCTGAGGAGAACAGAGAAGAGAAGCGATTCTGGGAAGAAAAGCGATTTCTGGGAGGAAAACGCAGAAGAAAAGCGATTTCTGGGAAGCAGAACGGGCCGTTCTGCAAGGAGAACGGCCCGTTCTGCAAGGAGAACGGCCCGTCCTCCAAGCAGTATAGGCCGTTCTCCAAACAGAATGCCCCGTTCTGCAAGGAGAACGGGCCGTTCTCCAAGCAGAACGGGCCGTTCTGCTGCATTATTTTTCTTTTTTTTTTAAAATTTTTACGATTTTTTACGTCGGACCTCGGTATGTCCGACGTAAATTTACGTCGGTTTTTGACCCCCGACGTAAATTTTACGTCTCCCGCTTCTACGTCGGACGTTTCCCTGACGTAAAAACCCCTAAATAACCGACGTAAAAAGGGTCTTTTGTACTAGTGATTATACACACGTTTGTGGTTAAAAGTTTAAAATAAGTTTTTTTTTTCATTGGAATATGAGATAAACAAGCTAGTGAATAACTA